TTGCCATAAGGAGTTTCAAAATTACAAAAAACCCCTTACAAATTAAAATAATAATGATAAAAAAATAAAATTATAATTTGGGTTTTCTCTTTCTTAAAATAGAGAGAAAAAAAGAAGTACAATGTTAAAAAGGGTATAACAAGGATATTTTGATCATTAACTAAAGGATTAAGTGCAAAAAAATAACCCTTGCATTTTTCAAATTGTGCAAATAGGATACCAAAAAAAAATACCATTACAACACAAAAAAAAAAAAAAAAAAAAAAAATGATTGAAACCATTAAACTACGTCATACTCTCTCTACCATTGGTGTATTTGGTTTTTTTTTTTTTTTTTTTTTTCCCTGGCAAAGCCTAACGGCACTTACAATAGAGCAATACAAACAACCACAAACTTACAAACGACAGATACCACAAACATACATAGACCAGCCCTAGAAAATAGACAACACACAAAAGACCCAGGACAAAGCAAACCATTGCTCAAAGTGACCCCTATCATGTTAAAAATGGAAAAAACCATGGGTCCCATAGTAATGATGCCCATATTGCAACAACAGCCACGCAAATAAAAAAGCGAACTCCAGAGTAGCATAGTTGCGTGACGGCAACGCCACAGACCTCAAACCAATTATTAACTTGTTGCAGCCCTTTCTGACACATAACAGTGCCACTGCACAACTGACAAATGCCTCAACAATACAAAACAAGTAATACAAATAGATACGGAAAGACCCAGCGTAATCCTGACCGCACAAAACAAAAAGGCTTGACAATGTTCATGTGATGTCCAGCACGAACACGCGTAAGAAGGATTGAGAACAGACACCACAGGAGACGCGGGGAAAACCGAGGGGACCCAAGGGTTATACAATCACCAAACCAAGGGAGTTGACCAACCGCCGGCGAAACACCAGTAGGAAAAGCATCGTCGGAAACAAAGCACCACTAAGAACAAAAAACATAAAAAACCCGAAACGCCGAAGGATAACCATCCTCACAGATAGGACCGGCAACAAGAAACCACAACCCATAGTCAATGGCGGCCGGAGGAGAAGTAGCTCTAAACAGAGCAAGAGAAATGAACAACCAACCTGCTTTAAGAACACGCCCAACGCGCAACAACCTGAAACAAGAAAGAAAGTCCGGCACATAGGACCAAGAAAACAACTCGCCTTTCCCAAATAACGAAGCCGACGACAGGAAATCCCTTGCATCAACTAACCGTAACCAATAAAGCATGGCCACAGAAAGCTTAACCACAGACAAAAACCCGACGCAGACAAGTAAAGGGCCAGAAAACAGTAGAACGACCATGGAAGCTAAGCAAACCAACCAAATACTAGGATCAAAAGGGAAACACTGTGGAGATTGGCCTAAAACCCATCCACCGTTCAGAACAACCCATAAGATCCAAAGTGCCACTGGGTCCGATCACCCACACAAACCGTTGTCGGGAGTGAACAGGAAAGCCATCCTATAGGTCACCCAGGGGAAGAAACCCAAACATTGAAAACACTCGGGAAAAAAAGAAAAAAACGCTCTGATCACACAGAGAAACCTCAGCTCACCTGAGAACCTGGTCCTTGGCTTTCTCCTTCTTTCACAAGTTCATAACTTTTTTATGTATTTGGTTTGGGATAGTGATCTCTAGTGCAAGCTAACAGTTTTCAACACTCTCCACGTAAGGGAATTAATATTGAAGCACTTATGAAAGATCAAACAACGTCATACTCTCTCGACCATTTGTGTATTTGGTTCTTCTCTCTTCGTTTTCCAATGGTGTCTTTGGTTATTCTCTCTTCGTTTTCCTATTCTCTCTATACACAGCCGAAACCACCTTGCTATTTCATGGACTGGACAAATTTAGTAGTATTAATTATAGTACTATGTAACAATTCCGTTGGGTTTTGGGGGAATTTGTCCAGTCCATGAAACTTTTTCTTACAGAGATAGAAAGAATCCAAAAAATCTATTGTCCAAAACCCTGTCACCGCCGCTGCTACGTACATCGCTGCCATAACTCGGCGGGGCTGCAAAGAAGCTGAGAACACTCCAGAACTCACCCAATAATGAGTACTACTCTCAAACCCCGTTAGCTAAATCACCATTAAAGTACTCTTGCTCCATGATGAAATTGTTCCCAATATGCGAAATTATGCAAGTACTCAAACAACCCTATTTCCTCCTCCAATTTGGATCCTTAACAACGCCACTCAATTTAGCAAAAACAGAGCTATTGTTTATGTTAACGATTGGTATTGGGGTCGATCTCGGTGAAACCGCCAAACCAATGTTTCTTTAGATTTAGTAGAGGAAAAATGAGTGTGGGTTTGATCCAGTTCGTTCATAGCGTCCATAATTTTGAGCCCTACAACAATGATAGGCTGGGTGGCTCAATATAATTTGAGTTCTTAGACGAAAAAATAAAATAATTTTTTAATAGAATTTACTTATATATTCATGTTAATAATATACTTATTATTTATTTTGTGATTTTTAAGCGTAGTATTAAAAAAATTTCAATCTCGTTAGTTAATTAACTATGTGCTTTCTAAAAGGTATATTTAACAATATAAATAAAAATAATGACAATTCACAAACAAAATATATAATTTTATGATAACACGATTTAGTAAAAATATAAACTAATTGAAGTTATAGAACAATAGAAACTGATTTTGAAGAATTTGGTCCAATACTTTAAAAAAATTCTTTAATAGAATAAAAGTTCATTCAAAGTTTTGTGACGTAATGAGGTTGTAAATTATAGGAATGGAGAAGATGAAAAGAAAAAAAAAATTATAATGAGAAGAGAAAAAATATGTGAGGAATAAGAAAAAAAGAAAAAAAAGAGTTAATAGGTGTCTTAAAAAATTATAAAAGTTTCACAAGTCGTACACTAATGCAATAAGGATGAGAGAGAGAAGAAAAAAAAAGTAATAGAAATATTTTGGGTCTAATATTAAATTTCTTTATTGATTGAGGTTTAATAATAGAAAAAATAAAATTTTTAGGTAGCTTATAATATATAAGAAAATTTTTTTGGAGCCCTGATAAAAAGAAAGAAGAAGGTAATAAATAACAGAAATCTTTTAGGTCACTGTCAAATCCCTCTCATTAACATAATTATTTTAAGAAAGTTATAATATATAAAGAAATGAAAAATTACGAGACCTTCTTATTGGCCAGGCCTTAGGCGACTGCATAACTTGCCTAAGGCTCGAGTCAGCCCTGATAATGGGTATGATGGGATCGTGGATTTCTGATATGTTTATTACCGAAAAATGGTTATGGAACTGTGTACAAATATCAGATGGTGGTGGAAGAGAGAGGGGTGCCGATGGTGGTTGGAAGTGGTGGGGGGTGTTGATGGTGTACTATATACAATACATGCATACACATGCGCGCGTGTAACTTGGTTTTTTTTTTTTTTTTTTTAAGGGAGAGAGATACCCTAATATATTGTAATCATTTATATATAACGGTATTTTGGGATTTTACAAAAAAAATGATTAAAATAAATAATTAGGGGACAATTTGCTCAGAATGTTAAAAATACAAGGATTTATATACATCTAATTTCTAGTGAGTGTTTTTCTTCCATGTTTTTAGTGAGTGTTTTTGTTGCACCTGTTTTTCTGTATAGCAGAGGTTTTTCCATTGTCTTTAATGGGAGTTTTTAAATTTTGGAGGACTTAGTTGCAATGTTTAATAACTGAGAAATGCACGTTACAATAACTCAATAGTTGATAAGTTTAGTGCACTTTTACCAAGCATAATAGCTGGTCCATCCAACCCAATACCGTTATCAAGTTTGCCATTGAGAGGAAAGAAAATAAATATTACTCCGTAAGAATAGATTTGGAATGACACCTTAACCCTACAAATTTATAGTTTGCCATTCTTTATAGGGTAGGATGATATTGAGAGAGGATAATAACTTGAGTGAAATTTTTATTATAATAATTAAAATAATCTTAATATTTTAAAGGATAAATTTTAAAAAATAGAGAAAGTTATATCGATAATGTCTAAATAACAGGGATATCTCTCCTAATTTTAAAAATAGCACTCACCTCGCATGTTATAAAATTTGAAAAAGACATTTTTGTAGATATATTGTAATAGGTATTATTTGACATCTAATACATCAGGCTATGAGAGGGGAGGTCGACATTATTTTTTAGATCAAGGAACGCAATGGTCTTTGCAATTTAAGACATTGGGAGGTTATTGTAACTTACTCTTATAAGTGAGACTTGTCTTACACCATATTTAAATAGGATTGGAGTGTGTATAAATATGTAGGTATGTAACACTACCCAATCGTTAGAATTTTTGGATAAATGAACAAGCGTAATCAAGTATCATACTAAGTCCTCGATTCGAAGAACGTCCGAGTCTGACCCAGAGTAAACAGAGTAAACAGAATGGCCGGCCTGTAACAAGGGTGTTGCCTGGGTTGCTTGCCCAACCGTTACACTTACAAGATATTTAGGGTTCATCTTAACACTAGGTGTAACGGCTAGGCGCTTGCTCATTTACCCAAAAGCTCGAACTGTTGAGTAGTGCTGCATACCCACCCATTTATACCTACGTCACTTCCCATCCGGATCCGATGTGGGACAAGTCTCCCCTTGTAACATTCTCCCCCACCCGAACTCGCAACGCCCTCGTTGCGGTCGGGCCACCCTGCTTATTAGGGGTGGCTCACCTGGATGCCTTCCAGACCGGACGCTGGGCATGACACCGGATCAAAAATTAGGTCTAACTCTGATACCAACTCATACGGGTGGGCGCTTACCCATTTACCCAAAAGCTCAAACTGTTGGGTAGTGCTGCATACCCACCCATTTATACCCATTTCACTTCCCATTCGGATCCGACGAGGGACAAGTCTCCCTTGTAACACTAGGACACCAAAGTAAATTGTGGTTAATATTAGAACTTTTACATAAATAATCAAGGCTCTCCCTCCTCTTAAACTATTTTACTGTTCGACAGTTTAAAAATCGATCGACACTTTTCTTCCTTATCGACAAAAACAATCTCAAGCGATCCCTCCTTATATATATATATTTTTTTATTTTTTAATTTTAATCTGAAATTATGGTTGCCCCAGTTCGCAGGGGTACGTAATGTGGTGTGCCGATTGATTGAGGGCTTTATAAATTTTAGCATCTGTGTTATTTTGATAGATTTCATTGATTGTGTAGTACTGTCGTTTAATTTTCTCTGATTCGTATGTTTCAGGAGGACGTGCCAAGGGTTATAGTTCAGATTCAGATGGTAATGTCAACCCTCTTATCTTTCTATGTATGACGTATCTATCTATAAACGAATATGTATATGTATATGTTTATGTATATGCGTGTGTATTATATATGTTTTATACAGATGGTAAGGCAACCCTCATCATCCTTCCATCTATCTTGTTCCTATACACGAAGAATATTTATTTGTATATATGCGCACAATCACGAAGTCGTTTCACCTTTATGCTTCGTTTTTTTTACTGTCCCACCGTTTGACGTTGGAATTTCAAATTAATTATATGTTTGGTGAGTGTTGGTTTTTTCAATACCAAGTCCCAAAGAGTATTGGCTATTATTTATTTATTTATTTATTTATTTTTTCGAATATAAAAATATTGTGAATTTGTTGGTAGCATTATTTTATTTCTTTGTGATTTCCCGCTTGCAAAACATCTTTTTGCAGTTTATTATCTCATTTACACATTTAATCCTTCTGTTCATTTTCTATATAGGTTTTACTGACCTTCTTCGTAATGCTGCTACTGCCTTGGGTCTTAAGTCCGTAAATCGTCAGATTGAAAGTGTTACGGAAAGTTTTATGACAGGGAGCTTTGTTTCGTGTAATGATATTTCCATGAAATATGAAAGGGTATATTTGCTCTTTATATGAAACTGTATTTTAAGATTGTTAGTGGAGTATGTGTTATCGACATGACATGAAATGGGTGTATGACACATGTACAAAAATTGAACACCTGAATATTCTGATGTTGATGATGGAAGAAGAAGATAAAAAGCTCATATTTTACAGCAAGAAAATGTTACTTACTTTTAAGATAAAAAGCTCATATTTTACAGCAAGAAAATGTTACTTACTTTTAAGATGGACGAATCTCTATTTTTTCACCATATTCCATTTAATTTTGCTTATTATAAAGTATATTTTTAATGAATAATAGTATCATGCGTTATACTTTTACGTAGTATATGTTATGTTTTAAAGCATGCAAGACATCGCCTTATCCCCCTATCCAAGTTTTGGACACATTTCAAGTTGAGTCCACATATCTCAGGTTTAAGGAAGTAGGGAGGTCTGATACTTACCAGATAAATGTACATAGTCAAGGTAACATAGCAGATCACCTTGTTTGTTACCTTTTCTTTTCAAATACGAAAGTGGAACGATGTCTATAGCACCACAGTTCCCAAAAGAGTTTTTTACCGTAGATACATTTATCTATCCTTTTATAAGTTTAAGAAGGAATGGAATTTGAAATCAAGTTGGGCACCTTCTCCTCAACTGATTTGAGCGATAAATTCCATCCCCTGGAAATCTTCTTTGTCGTTCCCATTTCAAAATTGGAATGAAAATGAGTTTAAAGCTATGGTATTTTTTATTTTATTTTTTATTTACGTCCATTGATTTAGTTTAAAGGGTGAAAGGTAATGGGCAATTTTGTAGGAGGAAATATTAAAAGGAAGGAAAGGTTGAATGATAACGGAAGGGATTAATTAGGTTTCTATACTGTGGTAGGAAGGTCCGAGTAGGGGACAAAGGAAAGAGCAATGAAGCTATTCTCTTCCAAGCTTTCGTATTTCATCATCTTAATGTCAGTGAAAATGAGAAGGGAAAGGAAACTTTTTCTCTCTCTTTCCTGTAGTCTTTTTGTTGCCGTTCTAACCATAGCATTTCTTAATGTGTAATGTTTATAAGGAGAAACAGAAGACATTCTCCTTCTTGCATATTCACAAAAAGAGCAATGGATGCCTTTTTTCCCCTAGGATGCCTTTTCCACCCTCCCACCTTAACTTTATTAGCTCATGCCAAACAATGAGAAAGCTACATTTTATTATAATGAAAATATGGAGATGCAAATGGTAAAAAGATGGTCCTATGAAATGTATTTAAAATTGTTCATAGACAAGCTCGTTTCTCGATTATAATAAATTTTCATTTTTTTTTTTTGGTTCTCTTTACAGGAGTTCACCTTTTCTTTTTTTCTTTCTTTTCTTTGTTTTAAGTTGTTGATTGAGTCCAATCCAATAATGGATTAACAATTAAATTTGAAGGTCTTTAAAAGTAAAATAAACTTTGTAACTTTACATGTTCAAAGACAATTATGTGATACTTAAATGTGAATGGGACGATCTGTATTGTTTTTCCTTTAAGTGGCAATTAGATTTGGAGCTAAAATCTACGCATTTATGTAATTGAGAATTAATTTTTGTAAATAAAGTTCAAAGAACTTTCGTTGCACCCCAAAAAAAAAAAAAATTTGTACTTGAAATATATGAATCAATGTTAGATTTTGTTCTATTTTCCCTTTGAATCCTAGCGTTTCAAGAAGATTGCATTCTGAATATGGAATCAAATGTTACCTAAAATTATTTTTCCTATCAATTCATAAATTCAAATTGGTAACCCTTAACAGAGTTCAGAAATTTGTTGAACTCCAAAATAGGCAGCCAGTTCTTTTCTTTTCTTTTTTCCTTCTAAAATAAAGTACCTTCTTGTTTGTTATTGATTTTGTACTCTTTTTCATGTTTCTTTTAGTTTATTTGGTGGTCTTATGGATAAGGTTTTCTTTGTATATCGAACACAAGGTTGTAAAAGTATTTGTGGGGGCAATAATAGTTTACGCTGCTTGGTTTTCTTTTTTGTGAATGCAGTGCATGAGAGAGTGTGGTGATGAAGATTGTCAAAAGTACCAGAAATCTTTGTCCCTGCACTGCCGTAAGTGAGATACTTCTGTTGTGACAAACTTTTTCTCTATACGTTTCTGTTGTGGCTATGATACACTAGGGGTTTGCTTTCTCCTATTTTTGATGTCTTATTGGTTTCTGTCACTGCAATGTTCGTCTTACACCACATCTATTTCAACTTTTTCCCCTTCTTTCCTTTTTCATTTTTCTATTTTCATTATATAAGTGGTTTTTACAGAAATTCTTATAAAAATAGTAATACCGTTGTCTGTGTTCAGCTCATTTTTTTGTCTTGAGTTCATCTAAATTTTTAGGGATAAATACATTGGTGGATGGTTATTGACAACATCTGTTACTTGGGTATTATCTCATAGATTATCAGGATCATTTGGGTGCATGGAAGGAGGATATGGGAGTGGAGTTTTGGGTTTTACTGGTTGCTTGCTTTTATTCTTTGTTTCAATTTTTCGTTTGAGGGCGGGCCTTGGCGCAACGGTAAGGTTGTTGCATTATAACCTGGAGGTCATGGGTTCAAAACGGGAAAGAGCCTATTCGCATGCCGAGTTAAGGCTGTGTACATATACGAGCCTCCCCAGATCCCGCAGTGGAAGGTGCCTTGTGCACTGGGCTGCTTTTTTCAAATTTTCCTCTGAAAATATTTATGCTGAGTAGATTCCTGAGAAGACGATTTACTGGATTTAAACTCTTGGTTGTGCAATTATGTTGCTTAATAACATAGATAATGCTGTCGCCCAATTTACAAAATGGTGCCGTTTTAAAAATTGTACCAGTGGAATTGGTCCCAATATTGTCACTTTCACAATTTCAGTAGTCATGAATTAGCTTCGGAGATGCCTGCCTTTTGCTCTTTAGATCCTTATGTTTTTATAGCAAAAAATGAATAAATTAATTTTATTTTTTTTTAATGTGTTTTCTGCATATAAAAAGGATGCCCTACTCTTCCTACGTATATGATAACATTCCCCAGAGAATTGCTACTATAGTCTATAGTACAACCTGACTTTGCAAAATTTGTTCCTTCACTTGGCATTATGAAATTCATGTCTACTGAGTTACATGTGTATTATGTTGATACGAGTTGATTCGCTGTCTCGTCCTTGGTTCTCATTTTGAAAAAAAACAGTAAATGTAGCCATCGTAGTTCTTATATATAATATATATATATATACATATGTAATTCTTTGCTTGGAATTATGAACTTCATGTGTACTGAGTTACATCTGTATTCTATTGATATGAGTTGATTCACAGGCTTTTCCTTTAGTTGTGATTCTCAGTCTGAAAAAAGAGTAAATTTAGCCATCCTTGTTCTTATATATATATATATATATATCTACATATCTACATATGTATATTAATATTCATTATTCATAATTTGTACGTGGATATGTGTGTATATATGCATATGTACATAAAGTTCCACATTCAGGGTTAACTTTTGTTGACGTTGCCTCTTTTTCCAAGCTTTTCTTGTTGATGTTGGAATTGGTAATATGTGTTTTAGTGGTGATTTGTGTGATTTTATATGTGTGTGGCACTGCTTGCATGATTTTGTTTGCGAAGTGCTCTCTCATTCATGTGTATATCCTTCTGATAATCTTGTTCGCAGGTCACTTTTATCCAACGGCCAGTGATATTGAGGAGGCGGATCAGTTGTATGATGCTTACATGACAAATAACAAGACTCAATGTGCGATTCGTAAAATGATGTTTGATGAGGTATATTTGATCTTTATTTGGGAACAATTGAAACTTTATTTCTAGGAGTTATCTGTTTTATTTCTTTTATAAGACTTAAATGTAAATCATAATTCCTTTATATGCATGCTGTTTAATACTACATATTTGTTTTCCATATCAATAAATAAATCACTTTACAACCATTGTGAAAGGCCTTTAGTACCTAAAAGTTCGTAGTTTCTGATGTCGTCGAATAAGTGTCTTTGCTGTTCCAAGTTTCCTCATAATCATGTCTAGAAAATGATAGTAATGAGCTAGACAGCCTAGTAGAAAAAACTGTCCTTTATAAGCACTAAACAAAAGCATGCAATAAGGGTATGTCGTGGCACTAAATTTTGCATAGAGCAAGTGTAAGAGGGTATAATATTTTTTTTTTTTGATAAGTTAGTCCAAGAGGATATCAGAATCATTTATCAAACGGATCTCAAATAGTAAAGATAGTGTCAAGTTTGTTAATTCAGTTACAAGTCAAGAGAAAGTATCATGTATGTCAATAAATCGTAGTAGAAAATAAGTTGCATTTATAAATCATCAACATTCATTAGATAATGCATCATATTTTCATACTATGCATTGTTGCGTGGTGAAAACCTGGTGCATAGCCACCAACTCCAGGATCGTTGCCACCCTAACAGGCATCCCTGTAGAGGTAGTGAACATTCCACCCACTCAGAATTCTGCCAAACTAAAGTATTCCGCTATCCCGTATCAAAGGGACTCTGCATCATTTATCAAAGTTCCACTTGCGAAATTGGCATGTGTGCAAATTGGCATATGTGCAAAAGAGATGGTTCCCATAGAATAACACAACAGAACAAGACATTTCTTCACTTTTTGTCCTATGCTAGACTCACAAATCCACTACTTTTATAGCTTTACAGCAATCTGCAATACACGGAGAAAAGGAAATGTATATATGCATTAAGTAATTGAAGTCTCTGTACAAATTTTAAATTCTTGCAGAATATAAAAACCCAATGAATTTTCTTTTTATTTTCATTATTTTGAAAGTTTGACGAAATCATCTTCACCTTAGAAGGATTTATAGAATCAACTTTACAAGTCAACCCATATGACCTAAATTCCTAGGACCCTAAGTTATTGGTACCATAGGCTCCATTATAATCATTTAGAAGTAATACTGATTTATGTGGTCAAAATTTATAGGTATCATGTGGTATTAAGAATAAATCAGTACTAAACCAGCATATAGCTAATAGGCTTATGTGAAGTGCTGTTTAGAAAATGTGACAGCTTTCTATGCATAAATATATATATATATATATATATATATATATATATATATAGTAAATTTTTTTATTGATAAGTGTGTGTGTATATATATATAGTAAATTACTCTGTCCTCTCCTGGGATTTAGAGAAATCACTATCGGATGAAAATTTGAAAAAAATTAAGTCAACCTCCCTTTAGGTTTGATGAAATCATAGTCAACCCCCTCTCCGATTAATTACCGTCAAGGTCATTAAAATACCCTTGAATAAGAGCAATTTACTTCTTCATCTGTACTTGATCATTTTAAAATGACAAATCTAACCCTTTATTTTTTGACCAAAATATTCATTATGTATACTATCTCAGATCTAGACATGGCAGTCAAATATTTTTATATATATTATATGATTGAATATCTGAAGTGCTACCTAGTTGTATAAATGACAATCAAATATATTTATATAATTGATTAATTAATGTTTCCATTAAATATAAATATTATTCAATGTTAAGTTATATAATCCAACTACATCAAGTGAAGAATTATATATATATATATATATATATATATATATCCTTCAAGTTCTACAGCGTGTGTGTGTGTGTGTGAGTGAGTGAGAGAGAGAGAGAGAGAGAGAAGAAGGGGGGGGGGGGGGGGGGGGGGGGAGGGGGGGGGGGGGTGGGTTAGGAAGGAAATGAAATTCAAGAACTGAAAACGGTGAGGTAGAGTGGGTTTTGGGAAAGGCAAATGGGCTTTGTTCATTTAAGCAGACCCAAAATAAGGGTTCTATGGTTAATAAGTGGTAATGGACATTATAGTTGTAGAATTGAAGACTAAATCCTATTCATTTGCATTGTGGTCAATTGTTGTTGCATGTGTCTTCGTGATGAGGAGACAGTGGATCACCTCCTTTTGCATTGCTCTATAGCTAGAGGTTGTTGGGATTTGATGCTTGGTTTGTTTGGAGTTCTGTGGGTCATGCCCAAATCCTCCAGAGGGTTGATTGAGACTTGGAGAGGTTGTATAGTGGGGGCCCAAGTCCGGGATGTTTGGAGGGTTACGCCTTTGTGTGTTTGGTAGTGTATTTGGCTCGAGAGGAACAAGAGATCTTTCGAAGGAAAGGAGAATCCTATTTCTATGCTTAAGTTCTCTATTATTTCTACTCTTTTTTGTTGGGTTGTAGGGAGATATTATAGATCTTTAGAGGAGATGGTCGATTTTTTGGGCTCCTTGAATGTCTAGAGGTCCTATTTGGCCTTGTGTAGTTCTATTGGGATGCGCTCCCCTTTTGAGTGCTTTTATACAATTTTACTTACCAAAATTTCTTTTTTGCATTATTCAGAAATCCATTTGTAGATACGTATTAGATTGAAAATCAATTCGCAATTCTATGGTAGGTAACATAGGTAACTATGAACATACCTCTTTCTCACTCTATTTCGCTATCAAGCCTTGGAGGTTCTGTTTTTTGGTGGAGGGTTTGAGTCACAGTGATGGTTGGTGGCTGTGAAGGTTGGATTGTGGGAAAATATAATTGGGCGACGGTGGTGGGAGGGGCCTCTGGATGCTGCAAAGAAAAGAGAGGGAGGGAGAGGGGGGGAAGCACTTTTGGTGGCGCTAATTTGGGTTGCACAAAATTGAAATAAAGGTGAAGGCAGCAAGGTTATGGTGATGGACTCATACATAGAGAGAGGCGGGTGCTGATAGGGGATGAAGGTGGTTGTGGGAGGAGAAAGAATTGGGTCTGTGGTGGTGTAGGAGCTGGTGTTGGTGGTACGGATTTTGGAGATGATTGGGAGTGATGATGGTTGTGGCAATGATGGTGGTTGTTGTGGTGGTGATAAGAGAGAAAAGTGGGAGTGTGGTGGTTGTAAAGTGGTGGAAGTGGGTTGGCGATGTAACACTGCGGGGGTGGTGGTGCTGGAGTGCGGAGGAGAGAGAGGGGACTTGAAACTAAAAGTGTAAGTGGCATTTTAGTAAATTCAACCATGCTCATATCATTATAAAATTAAAAATGTTTTTGTATCAAGGGTAATATAGTAAAAGCACACATAACATTTTGCAATTTACAATTCTCCACTCTGACAAGGGATGCCAGAGTGATATTTCAAAAACTTTCATCTGATGGTGATTACCTGATACCTCAGGGAAAGTCAGTAAATTACCTCTCTCTCTCTCTATATATATACACACTCCTTTTTATCACACAGAAATATCCACCCATATTTTGCTATGACATTTTTCTTTTTGGGCATTATAATAGCACAGGATCAATGGAACAATTTCCATGTCTTAGCAAAATGATGAATGACTCGCTATGTTGCTTCCTGAAGAGTGGAGATTAAATAGAATTTTGACATTTAGTATTAACTTAGATTGAACTCCTTGATAAACTCATTATTTTGAATTTTATATCACATCGTTTGAAAATCCCGATATTTACATTCAGTAACTAGTTTTGGAGATGGTTATCTACTATAGGGAGGCCAATTAAAACTTGTATCTAGGCCTGTGTTAAAAAGAGCCATCTCTTATCTTTTAAACCCCATAATGCAGTAATAAATTATGAAACTTTTTCATATACTACCATAATTAAAGTCCAGAGATTTATAAATCATACAAACCTGTTGCTAACAATAACAGGTTTGACTATAGTGGTGGCTCCAATATCACAAGCCATTTTAATTATTTCATTCACAGCAGTCTCTAAAACACAGCAGTTCCTTCAATGGACCCCCTTTTTGATAACATTTTAAATTCCTCGTTATCCTTTAGCATGTTCCTTGCCTGTTCTATCACTTTACACTTTTCTCGAATCTTCTCTTTTTTGTACTCTAATCTCTCCGGCGGCTGTTTCTCTCTCATTTTTTCCCTGCTTTTCTGTCCTCCTCTCTTGTTAGAATGTATGTATGTGTAACTGGTACAACCAGTTTTTTTTGTCTTTTAATTGTTGTCCATTTGTGTTGTTGTATTATTTTATTTTATTTTATTTTATTTTATTAATGAACTGGTTAGCTGCTAAATTGCAGCCCTTTGCTTACAAAATTCATCCAAGTAACAAACAACCCATTAATTTCTATTCCGTTTGCTTTCCTTTTTGTTATATATAGTAAGATCTCATGTTTGTTGTCTTAACCATATATGATATACATATATTAAGATGTCTTGCTGATGCAATAGCTCAGTTTCCTGAAGTTTTGCTGCAATCATTCCACGAATTTCTTGTTCCATTTTTTTTATTTATAAATTAACTTTATTTGAAGTTCCCTTCTTTTAAATTAGTAGGATAACTTATTCTTCCTATTCGTTTAGAATGTTTTCCTCTTTTAAAATTTTTGTTTACTAATTAACTTCCTTAAGCACATATTTTATATAGTAAATGTGAATATAACATTCTTGTTATTAGTAATTCCTATACAATTGCTTTAATTTCTCAAAAAAAAAAAAAAAAAAAATTAATAACACTCCCACAACTTTGGGTGGCTTGCCATCTCAAGCCCATCATTATCTCTATATAAATTAATTCTAATACATTTTACTTATCAAAAAAAAAAGAAAAAGCACAACCTACTTTATTTAATTTAATAAATAATAGTTATAGTCAGCATAATCTAAATAATTTAATTTAATAGATAATAGTTATAGTCAGCATAATTCTCACTTAATTTTATACTTCCTCCATCTCACAGTAGTTGTCTCTTTTTGGTATTATAACTTGTTAAGGGGGACATGCAATTAATGAATTTCCCCCTTTTAAATTTACCAAGTTGTCCTTTTAAGTTTATATATGTATATTATCAGGTTGGGAGATTTTTGAAAACTTAAAGGGTAATTATGGAAAGATTGACATTTATTTTGCTTTGCCTTTTAAACTGGGACAGTTAATTTGGGACATTCCAAAAAGAAAAGAGGGGCTGCTAATATGGGACGGATGTAGAAATAATTATCTGGACACTGGTCATCATATTCTTGCCTATGCTGACTGTGATGTACTTGTGGTTGCATCATACTTTGTTGCAAAGGGAAAATGAAGGAATGAATTCTATTTAGTATTACCACTTGTGTGTTTATTTGGGTTTGTAAATTTTGAGTACCTATGGTGTAACTTTTATGGCTTGATGGGGCAAGGATTTGTATTCTTTGTGTGTTTTGGTGGACTTGAGTGAATGGATGTGCCTATTGACAACATTTTCCCACATAAGCATCTTCTCCTATGCAATATTGCAGTTGAAGTTTTGATCATTGGATGAATAGAGTCGCAATTTTTGTTTCCTGTATGGTTTCCAATTATGTAAAGGGATCAGGTTTATGTTATAGAGTACACTGCCCGTTATCTTATTTTTGAATTTTATATGTAAAATAGTAGGGTAAAGTGCTGAAAACACACTACCGATATAGTGCATATACCCCCTTGGTGGTCCGTAAACCCCCTTCAAGATTTAGTGTTCAAATAAATACCTCCTGAAGACTTGAATACCCTTATGGCAAATTATCTTACATTATTTAAAAATTATCCAAATGGAAAATGACAAAATTAGACACTTGTCTCATTTGACACCAGGGAAATATATGCACTATATTGATAGTACAGTTATTTTCTGCACTTCAATCTTTATGGTCATATATTATTGAACAATAGAATATATCGTTTTTATGGAACAGTAACAATGAGGAGAATATAGTCCTTTGGACTTGAAGAAAAACTTAGAAAGTAGAATATGGTTGGTCTCCAGGACTCAAATTTAGTCTTCTAATACACTTTTAGAAATTAATCCATAGATATGTATGTGTACTTGAGTAACATAATTACTAATAAAAATGCACTTGAGTAACATAATTAACATTCAATGTTAATATAATTCAATTAAAAAATTTTAAAAAAAATTGGAATAAAATTATAATATTAAAATTAATAATATATTAATAAAAATAAAATTTGAAAATTGAAGTTCCTTAATAGTAACATTATATAAAATGTACTAGGAAAAATATATATATAAAATGATAGTAAAAAAATTATCAAAGAAAATATTTATCAAAAAAAAAAAAAAAAAATCAAAGAAAATAACATAATTATTAAACCTTTAGGAAAGGTAAAATTATCATTAATTTTTTCTTACTTTTTTTATCTTCTTAAATTCCGTTCCCACTTTAGAATTCTATATAAAACGCAACACTACTCTTTATTAAACCTTCTTTCTTTTTTATGAAAAAAAAAAAAAAAAAAAAAAAAACCCTTCTTTCTTTTTTAATATACTCCTAGATCTAGTATTACTCTTCAACTATATAAAACGCTACTCTAAACAAATTTAGAATTCAATATAAAACCACTCTTTATTAAACCTTCTTTCTTCTTTTTTTTTTTGGGAATTGTTAATTTCGTTTTCTTTTTCTTAAATTCCCTTTTACACCCAAGTATTCTATATACACGAAATCTATACTAAAGGGGTGGTTGTGCACTTAACCCAAATAATTGAGATGCTATAACACTTCCACTTCGGACAAAGATGTTTTTGGTTCTGTTTTTGTTGGACTGCATGCATACACGTTATCCACTACTATAATGTTAGTGCCACATTGGAACATTGTACTTTTAACTATTCTTCAGTTAGATCTATATCGGCTTTGACCCATTGTCAAAGCCATTATAGAATAGTGGTTATATTCTAGCATGGCAAATAAAGATGAGAGGGGTGGGTGAGGGGTGTTACGGTGTATTTCTTATTTCTGCCAATAAAAATATTGATTCTTTCTTTCTTTTTTCTTTTTTTTTTTTTCTTTTCTTTTCTTTTTTTTTTTTCCATTCATTTTTGTTCTTATTTTTCTATATTAGTACTACAATCATATAATTTTTAAATCTTGTAAACTAGATTTTCGATATATTTGTGGTGCAATGGTATTTTACGTATACTGTTTGGTGTGAAAGCAGTGTGTAAGCTACGTTGGGGAAGATCACGAACATTGTAGAAGTTTCCGCGAAGAATTGTCCCGATATTGTCAAGGTAAGGTGGATGCTTATAGTGAGTAACTTTTGGTTAATATGCTTCCATTTTGATCTTATTTTCATTTTTGTTATCTAATTCTTTTCCTAGCTCTGCAATATTTATCTTATGCCAGATCTGTTTCAAATATTTTGTGTCTCCTTATCTCTCTTTGGTGCTTTTTCTCTGTTCATTTTTAGCTGTCTTTTTTTTTTTTTTTTTTTCTTCTTCTTATACTTCATTGATTCCGTTCAGCTCACTTTGTTGTCATGGTTCATTTGATTTCTTTGGGGATAAGTACGTGGGTACATGATACTGGCGTGGAGGCTTGTCAGCCTTTGATCTTAGAAGAAAATATGGTGTTAAGAGTTATGGAATATATCTTTTTGTTGGCAACATAAGTAATCGGGGGTATCTCATAAATAGTTATATCATGGGAATGAAAAGGACGAAATGTGAGTGGTGTTTTGGCTTTAGACAAACAAGTTCATTCCGCCAGCATGTGTATGTGCTGTTTTGTTTTGTTTTAAAATTTTCAATAATCTTTTATTCATTCTGGGAAGATTTTCAGGTTCATATATATATATTTAAAATTGGGATTAATGTTTGGAGTGTTAATATATGCTTTTATTTGTGATTTAGTGGTTATTTGTGTGAATTTGGTGACATCTGAGTTTCTTCATATCATATTTGAATCCTTATACCTTTCTTGTGAAGAAATGATAGCCAGGTTTGTCTAATTTTAGAAATGAAGGGTGAATTACGTTGCACTCTTTGAGGTTTGTTTATATTTACATGGATTTCCTTGCTGTTGTGGCCCAGTAAGATTTAGACACCTGTTTAAAATTTAAAAATTTTGAAGATGAGTATTACCCATCTCCTTGCGGGTTAAAACCGTTTGTTTTTTCTTCTCTCTCCTTTCATCTATCCCTAACAAAGCAAATCTTATGTATTGATTTGGGTTTTGTTTTTGAGATCTAAAATTTGGATTATTGCATATATAGGGTTATATTTTGAGATAAGTGTGTATATACAATTATACACACACACACACATATATGCATACACATTATTTACATTATGCGAATGATTCATCAGAGAAGAGATTTGTTCTTGAGGAAAAGAATGGTGAACCACTTTTGAAAACAAAAAATAGAGAGAATGGTGAACCTATTTGGGGTTGATTGACTCTAATGAAAATCCCATTGCATTTTTAAGGTTCAACTCTAATGATAATCCCATTGCATTTAAAAATAAAGGATGAATTACGTTGCCCTCTTTGAGTTTTGTTTATTTCCTTTTTAATTTGAATAATAACACTGCCTTAGTATGTGGTTTGACTTTGCCCATCAAAACCTAAATATAGTTTTTAATTGAATAAACCAACTATTGTGAAAAGACGCATTAACCCTTCACTGCAAGATGCTTATACACAGCCTCAGCCTTTCTCAACTAATCAATTGTAAGAAAAAAATGTATTTTTATTCTATCCAATGGTGAAATTGACATTATGAAAGTTCATTTTGCTGACTTTAGCAAAATCCATCCTTGAGTTGTCTTGACACTTAATGGTTACAAAACAATGTTTGACAAGAGAGGTCACAGTTATTTTTTGAAACTACATAGAAAATTCTTGTAAGTGTAACAATTCTCAGGGAGGTTTGTGCATTTATCAGAAATAAATTATGAAACTGAAGTATCATTTTTTTGTTTCTGTTTTTGTTGTCGTATGCTTTCATTAATTCTGTTTCTGAAGTGTTCTCTTATTCATGAGTATATTCTTTTGGTAATCTTCTTTGCAGCTTTTGAAAAGGGTGGACAGCCCGCTGGTGAAACAGGTATTTCTTCATATTTATAAAGGGTTAAATGGCTGCATATTCTTATACAATCTTCTGAGAAGGCATGGGTTTACAATATATATAGTTCAAATTGAAATATTTAATTTAGATCAATTGTTGATGCAAAGATACGAGCCTCATGTCAAATTCCTTATTTGTCATGTTGTTACCCTCTTCTTCAAATACAACAAAAGTGTAACCATGGCTGTAGTGTGTGCTATAGAGTGATTATCTCTTATGTATTTGTATTTGCTTGAATGCTTGTGCATCCCAATGTGTATATACATCTTTCTCCAGTAAGTTCTAGTCCAAAAATTCATCTAATTGTACAATTTTGTATGTCATTGATGCTTGCATTTTATGGTTTATGGTGTAGAACTTCAAACCTCTTAGATATAATAGCTGTATGAAATTTGCATGGGAAGTTGTTCTCTATCTTGTCAACAATACTGTTATAGAAAGTTAGAGTTGCAAGTGGAATACCTGCTAAGATTCTCATTTATGAAACTTAAGGCTTTTTGAACAAATCTTCTGTTTTTTTAATGTCCTTTATTTACTTTCAACAATTAGCAATCACCACACCAGATAGAACAATTTTTAAAGTTAAAGGCAAGCACAAAGATCTACAATTTTTTCGTATGGAAAACACACACAGGAATACCAAGGATTACTGGTTCGAGCACAATCATCCTCTATGCAGAAGAAGTGTTCAATCTTACCTTGCTAATCTTGACTCCAATCCTAGCATTAATGTTGAGTTTCTTTACCTCCAATGCACAGAGTTACCATAACTAGTCTGAACTCCACCTCAGAGTCACTAGCTCTTGTGCTTCCCAGTCAACGTAATCGCTCTTTATGGTCCATTTTCTCTTCAATAGTGATTTAGATTCATGCTGTAGTGTTTAGCCAGAGTGTTGAAATTATGAAGTCTACTGCTGATTACTCTTCAAGAAACAAATCCAATCCGAAGTACACTGAAACATTCATGCATAGTCTAATCACTCATCAATTCGAGTGTATGAAGCAAATAGAAGTTCTTGTAAAACACTTCGAAAAGGAACCTCTATTCATAGTTTGGGCTGATAAAAAGTGTTTATATATGCATGTAAAACTCTAATTCTTTTTCAGTTTAATTTAGATTCTTGTTTGGAAACTTTTGGAAGATTTAAAAAGCACCTTAGGATGTTTTTTCAGAAATTAAAATTCTTATTGTTTGGTTTCTGTTACGGGTGCCGCGAGATATGGGTATTGGTTATCACCTCTCTAGGCTGTTGAGCTCCAGTTATCTACATTTATTTGATAAGTAAGGTTTGACTTAATCATGTTCGAGTCATAAGCATGCCGAACCAAATTAACACAATAATTAGACATGTCATGTTGTGTTGACCTGTCAACCCGTTTATAACCCGATTAAACCCATTTAGCTAAATGTGTTGTAAAAAAAGTGTTGAAAATTTGGTTTGATCTTGCGATTTTGATGCAAATTGAGTCGAAAGTCAATGTAAACGAAGTCAAAATCAAAATCAATGCTGTTGAGAAGCTGAGAACAAATGTGAAGTCAGCAAGGTTGAGATGCGATAATATGATTCAGAGATGATTGTTGAGGTGTTGCGATGTGCAAAGTTGCGATTGGGCTGCAATAGTTAGCGCTTGAACTAACAGTCGTTTACTCCTCTAGTTTAGTTTTCCTTGCTCTGATGCCATGTTAACCTTTGTGCAAACAAGATGGAGAGAATGGGGAGAAATCTCTATATCTATATTCAACAGAAGCTTTAATCATACGAATACAAAACAAATAAGCCCTAAAGGCTGACAAACTAAAAAGAAAGGAAAATACAATATTACCCCGTAACATAATCATGAAAAAGCTCAATAACTCTCTAACAGTCACCACACTGATATGTATTTGCAAACTCTCTGTCTCTTTCAATCGTTTTAGTGGATCTGAGCTAAATTTCCTTCCTTGGTCATTTTAATGGATCTGAGCCTAAGCATTTGCCACAATTCATCCAAATTCAACATATACGAAATTGAGAAAGAAGCAGTTCTCTTTTTCTGGCCTGTTGTCATATGCTTTTCATTTTCAAGATTATGTTTCTTCAATATCAGAACAAAAAAAGAGAAAATTCTGTTTTGCTTGTAAAATGTTTGACATAAAAATATTTTACCACAAAAATGCTTTACATTGAAACAAACTTGTTAATCATGAACATTCTAAGCTTAGCATTTAAAGATGGTCTCATCTTAGATATGGAATCAAAGGCCAATGTCATTTGTTAGTTCTAGTAGTTCTCAGATTCAAGTATTTCATTAACTCACAGTTACGTCCTGGAATTATATTGAACTGTAATTTGTGAATTTTTTTTTTTACGTGCATTTGTGATTTTTGAGTACTTTTACTGCAATTGTTGTGCTTGCAGGGCAAGGATCAGTTACCTATTTAATTTTTATGGACTTGAATGTAGGAGTTGATACACAGCATTTTATCATTATGAAATCTTTTACCTTCACACGTTTTGGTTAGAGCTTTTGGTCATTGGATGAAAGCTTTTGCGGTTTTGTTTGTATGAAGACTGGGTTTAAGTTGTTGATTTCTCTGCTTAGTGGTATTCTCTTTGAATTATAAAAAAAAAAGATTGACGTCCCCTGTATGTATTATTTGCAGTGTGGACAGAAAAGACGAGATCATTACACACTCTTTTTGTTTTGAATTGCACAAGACACATAGTCCATTGTGATGTTACTGTCACAATAGACATTATACTTTTGATAGAGGCATTCTTTACTCTTATCGTCAATCAAAAAGTTGTAACTTGATTCTTCTTCTGCAATAACGTCTTTATCAATATCTTTAATAGTAGTATTCGTAGGGGCAATAATTGATTACGGCTGTTGTTTGGTTTCTTTGTTGTGAATGCAGTGGGGTGGTGGAGGAGAATTTGGGATTGATCGTATATAGTGCTTTTGTGCTTCCTGCAAAACTTGTCCCAGTGTTGTGGTTTTTCGCATCTTGGTATTTTATTGAAGATCATCTGCAAAAATTTAGTTTATGTTTTTTGTTTATTTGTAATTTTAAGGCTATGTCTTTGAAAAGATTTGTATATTCAGACTTTTCTTCTGTGTCTGTTGCCAAAACATTGGCTGGCTTCACCGAGTGGAAACCAATTAAATATGGATCATTAATTATGATATTCTTGTAATATACCTCACTTTCTCCTTTTGCATTGCGTTTTAATCAAGCATAACAATTAGAACAACTTAGGATATTATAAAAAGATGGATCGGAACATTCATTCCTGAAATTCCATAGGAGAAGAAACTGAAAAAACAAAGGGTATAAGCTCAAACTTTTATTATCCATATTGGGACTTGAATCATTACTAACTCATTTATGAGGTAGAACTAGGTTACAGTCTTTAGCGGTACTTTTACAACAAATACACACGAAACAAAGATAGAAAATCAAAGTCTCTGACCCTAAAATGAAAAACCCAAAACCGCATAAATTGGCAAAGAACAACCACCAAAACGTTTTGTTAGATAAGTATTCATACTCAAAACAACGCCCTCTGTAAGGCTCAAGAACGTGTTTATAAACATAAGAACATTAAGCTCGATATGTTCATGAACAAGTCGGATAATTTTGAACACGAGCTCAGATCGAGTCTGAATGGATTTTGCTATTAAATTAATCGAGTTCGTTACAATCCCAGCTGACTCAACGCACGCCCATATATAAGTTTGTATCCATTGTAAGAAATTTCTTTTTTCTTTGGGGAAGGTATTCTTAAGAAATTTCCCCTCTAACCTAGTGATGGGATAGAACGGACACTATTTTGATCAGTATGACGTGCATCTTAAAGCAGCTATTGGCGACCAATCAAAAGAATTCCATTAATTTTATGTATAATATTTAGTCACACTTACAAAAACAGGCCCAATATCGAGAGGCTGTAACCAAGAAAGGCCCAATAGAAAGTCCAAGAGGCTTGTCCACACAATTCAAATTATTAACTGGCCCGCAAACATGTGCCCTAGATGGATTCCCATAATCCTTCTGATTTATTTACTATTAATAGTATCGAAAGTTTTATGATTTAAGCCCTATTTTGATTTATTTATTAACAGAAGGAGAAGAGTGTCTCCATTGGTATGGTGTGCTCACAGAGTGTCATGGGACGTGTGCGCCGTCTACGTGCTTTGCTCTTTTGCCTTTCTTTCTCACGTACCAATTTGTACCCACTATTTGTCTCACTACACATATCCATCGATCATTATCTGATTAATTGAATTAAGCTTATGATGGTGGTGGCATTGGAAATTAATTAAGCTTGTTAAACTTAACATTCAACCTATAATACCCAAATCAAAGCGTCAAACTCATCGAGAAGCCAAGAAAATTAACATAACTCCGATTTCATCAACAAACAAATAAAAAACAAAATGACTCAAAAAAAACCAGCAGCACTTCTTGACTCCTCCCCGTCGTTCTCGATCAACTCTCCGGCCGGCCAGATCTACGTCATCATTAATTAATATGAGAAATAATACATATACATATATTTATAAATATATATATATGAGAAAAAGCCAGTTTATGTGTGTGTGTATATATATATATATAAACTTATATGTGTGTGCATGTATGTATAATTTGTGTGGGTGTATATATATGTGTACAGATTATATGTGTATGTGTGGGTATATATATATATATAGACAGAGATCGAGGTACCTAAAAAGGACTATCGAACGGCTCCATGGGCTCATCATCATCTCCGTTGGTCTTGCCGCCGTTCCCATTCACGCCCTCGGAGCCATTCCCGTTCTTGTCTTTCATCAACTGAGTCATCAACAATTTGCTCTCTTTTGACCCATACCTTTCGGCAAAAGCTTTCTCCGCCATGGCATGAAGGTGGTAAAGCATCAAATCCCTTTAGCGACCTCCGCCGTATCTCCCGAGATGGATTTCTTCACAACCTTCAGAGTTCCAGTCACAAAGTTGGTTGCATGCAGTCTCAAGAAGGGAAGAAACAACAGCGACCTCACTCACTGTCTTCATCAACTTGGACCCCTCCTTCATTTCTTCGTATGCATCTTTGTCCTCTCGGTTCATAAGCACTATATACTCGCCTGCTTTCACATCCAGTTCCTCCTCCTTCTTCATGGTGTCAGTGAAAACTATGTGTTCCTTGAAGGTCGGTGAAGACCTTTTCACCCACCACCTCCTTATCGCTACAAAGACTAATCTAACCCTATACTTTTCAAAATTTACAATAACTCCCCTCTTTCACTCTCACTCTCACACGCGCGCATAATTCACTTTACATTAAAAGTGGATTATAGCAATAATAATAATTATTATTTTTATTATATTTTTGTTTTTAAAAAATATGCAAATACACTATAAAGATGAGGAGAGATAAAGAAAAAGATTTTTTTTAATTTTTTTTAACAAAAGAAGAAAACTGCTTAAATTTTTCTAAATTATAAAATTAAAATTTTCTCATGAATATTCATGTGTTTCTTATACTAACTGTACCTAATATGTGTGTGTGCGTATATATATATATTATATACAGTATTTTACTAACTTTATAATGTCCACTAAATCTTTAATTTCAAATTGAAGACGCAATAGGTGGAAAAAAAAAAAATTTGAAGATGCAATCCATAGTATTTTACTAACTTTATAATGTCCACTAAATCTTTAATTTCAAATTGAAGACGCAATAGGTGGAAAAAAAAAAAATTTGAAGATGCAATCCATATGTAGTGAATCAATTTTACTAATAAGAAAAAGTCAAGTTAAAAAAAAAAATAAAAAAAAAAAATGAGGACAAAATGGTAATTAAAGGAGGAAAGGAGGTTAGGAATCGTCACGTGATCGGGATTCGGGTTTTCGGTGGGAAAACGCTTGCTCCGTTTTTTGGGTGCAGCTGTCGGATATGTCGTACAGCCCCCAAACCGCCAACTTTTCTCTCTTTAACTTTAGTTTAGAGACTTTCTCTCTCTATATAGGCAGAGGCAGAACGGGAAAAGAAGCTGACACGTATACCAAATATGATTGGAAGATATTGCGAAAATGACGAAAAAAAAAAAAAAAAAGACAAAATAGTAAAAAGACACGTAGCCAAGACGGTATATATGCATCAATATAGAAATTTTATATATAGATAATAGAGATGTCATGGGATGGAAAAAAAGCATGTGCCTCCTAGCCAATCACAGGCTGCCACATTATTAAATTTGTCAAATATTTTTTATTTTTTTGAGTGAGTAAATGAGTGCATTAAAGGAAAAATTATTTACAAAAACTAAACCAAAAATAAATAAAAATAATTTATATGGGCAACGCTACAATCTAAAGAAAAGAAGTTTTAAAAGGATGGTAGGACCAAATTTATGAACCAATCCAGCCACAAATCACAAACTAAAATCAAATAATTTGAAAATGGCGGGAATTATCGAATTCACATTTCAGGGCATGGTCATGCTAGGAAAAGGTAAAGAAGGAGTTGGTGTGGTTTTGGTTCAAAGATTGAACACGTACATCATGTAAATTGACTAAATTGTATATAACCAAATTTTGATTAAATGTTTTTTCTAACCAAATTTTGATCAATTCCTAAATAAATGTAGAATAAATCAAACTAATATAAAAACTATTATTTCATTAATTATTTATTTGGATAACAAAGATGATATTTCAGAGGAAGGGTGAAGTGACATCATTTTCTTCTTAGATTCATATTTTTTTTCTTTTTCTTTGCATTTAAGTCTTTTGAAAATCTGTGTGTCACAAAACGTACCTCTTTATACGAATGGATGGGCCGAATCACTGTTCCAAATTTTTGTTACAATCCTACTTAGTGCATGAATCATTTTTGTTACAATCCTTCTCCGGCGCCGGCCCCCTTCAACCCCATCTCTGTTTCTCTCTCTCAAAATCTCTCTCTCTCTCTCTCTCTCTCTCTCTGTCGATCTCTGGGTCTGTAGTTTGTTTCCAGAGAGAAGAGAACTATATACAGCCCTATACCAAAATTACCCATTAACTTTGTAAAATTTCCCCTTTTTACCCCAGCAATGCATATCTCACCCCCCTCTCTCTGACACTCACCCTCACCCTCACCCTCACACGCGCTCATTCGCATATGCTTCCTTCCAATCTGTGTTGTGTTACAAGTTGCTAATCATTAATTTTGTGTGACCTCTGTGAATTTTGAATATTTTTTTTTTTGGAAATGTTCCCATTTCTATTATTTCACTTGGTCTTAATTAGCCGATAAAAAAAAAATAAGGAAAGAAAAAAATGAACTCATATATAAAATTTCTAATTTCATTCTATATATGGATAACAAAAATGATATATCATAATATGGGGGAGGGTGACATAATTTTAACACCTACAACAAGGCATTGGTTGGTCTTAAAGCATGTAGGATAGCAACAAATTCAGCACAAATAAATTTTTCTTTATATTTTCAGAGCATAATTATATTTTATTAATGACGAAGCATTCTTATTAATGACGAAGCATTCTTATCTAAAATTGGTGCTTGCTAGCAAGTTGGTAATGACCCCATTAAAGTGTCCCCTAGTTCCAACATGAACTCTGGACCAAGATATTCACAAATAATTTTAAATTATATAAAACCAATCAACAAATCTAGCTAGCTAGGCTTAATTAATTTAACCTACCAATTAAACAATATGTCTGAATTAAATTAATTTTATAAGCTAACTATTAATTGAATATTAAAGCTACCTTAATTATACATATAGATAAAAATATTATTTGAAAATCATTTTAAAGTTCAGTATTTCACTAATGGCAATATCAATGTAAACCTAATTGATTCAGTATTTAAAGAATAATTTATTTTTATTATTATTAAAAAAAGAAAAAAAAAAAAAAGAAAAAGAAAAGAAAGAATTTTATGCATTGAGTCTATCCGTGTGAAAAAAGGAAAAAGAAAACCAAAAAAGTGTAGGGAGGAAGTGATGCACATTTATTTTGGCGTCTAGTAAAGGATTCATGATTTTAGTCTCGGACGTGATTCGATAAACATACTCAGTACTGACATTTATTCAACAAGAAAATATATGGTATGTGTTTGGCTTCCAAGAAACAGAAAATATGTGGTATGTGTTTGGCTTCCAAGAAAAAGTTGTTTTCTTCCGGATTAAAATTTTGCACAGATTAATTAAACAACAGTA